ATATGCATCTGTTCATTAATTTATAATGCAATTACGTACACTCTCAGAGGATTTACAATGAAGTTTCTCAGTACACTCTGCACTTTATCATATTCCATCAAATCGTCATCTTTTCTGCAACGATGCAGCAAGGTGTCAAACACACTTGTGAAGGCGAACATACTGAAAAGTGCGGCATCAAGGTAGGAGGAGAAATGGTGACCTTGGAGGCCGCGCATGGGGCCACAGTGTCTATCCTCAAGAGTTTTAGGGGGTTCGGTTACGCCTACTACTTCTGGAGAGACCATGCTCCCAAAGTCTGCAAACAATTATTATTCATTACATCAAAATTGTGGTAACAAATAATTAGAACATATGAACTCAATGGACTGATCTCTCTTATCAACAAGCGTAGAGCTAACAGAACATCTTCGTATGCAATTAGAGGAGAAGTAAGGTCTAAAAACCATATCAGTTCAAGAAACGTACGTTTAAATTTTATTTGTTCGCACCTTTCGAGATCTCAAAGAGTAACCTAACCACTCAAACTCCAGACGATGCTACAGGCACAAACCCACAACACCCAGTTTACAAACAGTTTCTCCCCGGGTTGTCGCAAAAAATTGTTATTTAATTCATTTAAACAGGCTTCTTCGCACGACTTAAAATAGTAGCCTCTGTAGAAGCCCCTTTTTTGCACATTTGAAGGCAATTTTCGGGAGGCTTTGTCTCGCACAGAAGTCATTAACAGAGTTTGAGCTATATTCATCATGGCCGAGATAGAGATTACACGCTTTCTGAGGCGTATAACTCCTTTTAGACATAACCTAATAGGAGAGGTGTGGACAACAGCATACAGAGAAATTATCAAAATAAGTTGCTGTTAAAAAGTAGCCAAGACACTGAAATGGTCAGTCAGGTTTTGTTTGGTCAGTCAGCTTTTGTTGTGAGGTTTAGTCTCGCAAAGCAGTCGGTAACAGAGTTTGACCTATATTCATTAAGGCCAAGATAGAGATTACACGCTTTCTGAGGCGTATAACTCCTTTTAGGCAAAACCGTAGAGGAGAGGTGTGGACAACAGCGTCCAGAGAAATTATCAAAATAAGTTGCTGTTAAATAGTAGCCAAGACACTGAAATGGTGAGCAAAAGATTTCGACGGAAAAAAAATTTGGGAAAAGTTAAGTTTTCAACATAATGAGCTGAATGATGACCACCATTTACCTTCAGAACAATATTCAACATCTGCAGTATCTGGGGGAAAGGGGTTAAATGACCAAATCGTTAAAAATAAAAGTATTGTGTAAAGCATTCCGGTATTTGGAATTTCAGTTCCCAAGAGGTGAGTTGGGGCTCAGATGTATCTAGAATGTGACGCATTTGCCCCAATTGTCTGTACAGTTTTCAAATTTGGCTTGATTACCTTTTTCAACATTTAAACTGGCATCAGTGGTTGACCAGTTAGCAAAGCGGGAATCTGGTCGGCAATTCTCCAATGGAGCAAAGAAACCTCTTCTCTCTGGACAGGTGAAGTATCTTTTTCTATGAAAAGTCCCATCTGAACATGCAGACTCTTCCTCTTCCTTCAAAAGAAGAGAAACACTTATTGATAGTGATAAGAGTGTCACGTAAATCATGGTTTTCTTGTCCCAAGAACTACAAATTGGATTTGTTGGTTCATGAATTATGAAAAACGCGAGTTCTTTTCTGGAACCATTGGTCAACATGTTGATATACAAAGAAACCCCTTCCATCTGGGCAGATGAAATATCTTTCTTTAATGAAAGTCCTGCATTGTATATGAATGTATGAAAAAAGCGACTATGAGTATAATTGCTTCTTCCATTGCCAGTTGCCTTTCAGCATCTACTCCGCTTCCCTGATACTTCACCTGTACCCATTTATTTAACCAGGCGGAGTGGGGTACTTGGGATGAAGTGTCAGACCTGAGAATACAACATCATGACCAACCCAGGTGTCGAAACTGAGCCTCTAAATTTGAAGTTTTACGCACTAGCCGTTAGCTAGACCACATCATTTTATCGGGGCAAAGGACATTGTGGGACCGTGATAAGTAACTTTTGCTCAGAGTTGCTATATATTTTCAAGCCTTCTGTGTGCCTTCTCGTCATTTTTTTAGAAAAGGAAGTCTAACAAGAGATCTTGTACACGAACTAACCTTCATTTCACTTCGTAATTAAGAGAAGACTGTCCTATCATAATCAAGTTTAATCGTGAACCCTTACCCTCCTCCAGACTCAGAAAATATTCAATCAACTTCCTTACCAACTCCAAACCAGCTGCCAGCTTGTTTATAGATGGAAGGTTTCCAATCCAGCGAATGACACCATATCTGGTGTAACCGGCACCCGCTACAGGAACTTCTACCATAGATCCAACCTCAAAGTTATGAATGTTGACTGTCATTTGGCTTCCTCCACCTTTAAAAGGAACTGTTTGTTGGTTCCTCTGATCTGAAGGAAATAGTATGTCTTGGTATTCCTGACCGCTCTTGCCTGCTGGAACTACCATTTGGCTGCTCTCCTCTGGCTGAAGCTCTGTTTATCAATATAAAAGTGTAATGAGATAAAGGAAAAGTTATCATTAAAGAGGATACTGGTTGAATTTACATAGAATTTTCAGAGTTGCAAATGAAGGCAGAAAGGAGGATTTTGAGACCTTACGAGTAAATGGGTGA